CAGCTGACCTGTGACATCTGTCTATAGTGACATTTAATAGCTGTGAGCTGACCTGTGACATCTGTCTATAGTAACGTTGTATAACTGTCAGCTGACCTGTGCCATCTATCTATAGTGACATTGTATAACTGTCAGCTGACCTATGGCATCTGTCTATAGTGACATTGTATAGCTGTGAGCTGACCTGTGATATCTGTCTATATTGACATTGTATAGCTGTCAGCTGACTTGTGATATCTGCCTATAGTGACATTGTATAGCTGTCAACTGACTTGTGATATCTGTCTATAGTGACATTTTATAGCTGTGTGCTGACCTGTGATATCTGTCCATAGTGACATTGTATAGCTGTGAGCTGACCTGTGATATCTGTCTATAGTAATGTTGTATAACTGTCAGCTGACCTGTGCCATCTATCTATAGTGACATTGTATAGCTGTCAGCTGACTTGTGATATCTGCCTATAGTGACATTGTATAGCTGTCAACTGACTTGTGATATCTGTCTATAGTGACATTTTATAGCTGTGTGCTGACCTGTGATATCTGTCCATAGTGACATTGTATAGCTGTGAGCTGACCTGTGATATCTGTCTATAGTAATGTTGTATAACTGTCAGCTGACCTGTGCCATCTATCTATAGTGACATTGTATAGCTGTGTGCTGACCTGTGATATCTGTCCATAGTGACATTGTATAGCTGTGAGCTGACCTGTGATACCTGTCTATAGTGACATTGTATAGCTATCAGCTGACTTGTGATATCTGTCTATAGTGACATTGTATAGCTGTCAACTGACCTGTGATACCTGTCTATAATGACATTGTATAGCTGTGAGCTGACCTGTGATACCTGTCTATAGTGACATTGTATAGCTGTCAGCTGACCTGTGATATCTGTCTATAGTGACATTGTATAGCTGTGAGCTGACCTGTGATATCTGTCCATAGTGACATTGTATAGCTGTGTGCTGACCTGTGATATCTGTCCATAGTGACATTGTATAGCTGTCAGCTGACCTGTGATACCTGTCTATAGTGACATTGTATAGCTGTCAGCTGACCTGTGATACCTGTCTATAGTGACATTGTATAACTGTCGGCTGACCTTTGATATCTGTCCATAGTGACATTGTATAGCTGTGTGCTGACCTGTGATATCTGTCCATAGTGACATTGTATAGCTGTGAGCTGACCTGTGATATCTGTCTATATTGACATTGTATAGCTGTCAGCTGACCTGTGATATCTGTCTATAGTGACATTGTATAGCTATCAGCTGACCTGTGTTATCTGTCTATAGTGATATTGTATAGCTGTCAGCTGACCTGTGTATCATTATTGTTATTATTTTACATTAAGTTTCAGCTAAAACTTTACTAAACATGTTACATTTACTGGGTGGTGAAAACCGTTCTAAGGTTGCCGCTGGATTCCATGAAAACATTTATTATCAGTGTCATCTCAACAGGTCCAGATTCCTTACCTGTTAAAATAACGCAGAGAATATTCTGTCACACAACTTATACAAAATCTCAACAGGTCCAGATTCCTTACCTGTTAAAATAACGCAGAGAATATTCTGTCACACAACTTATACAAAATCTCAACAGGTCCAGATTCCTTACCGGCTAAAATAACCCAGGGAATATTCTGTTACACAACTTATATAACATCTCAGAAGAAGTGACTATTAAAACACTTATCGATAGTAACACCTCAAAAGTCGAGACTTTAATCCATTGGAATCATTAAGAGAATGTACTTTTTTCCGCATTAGCAACATCTCAAAATATCCACTTTGATTTCATTGAAACAATCCAGATTAATCAACATCAATGATACACTGTACAATTCTACAAATAATAGTACATACTGTTATAAAGAAGGCCATCAACATTTCCCGATACCTCGATATGTTCTGATGTACAGGAGAGGATCTGGGTTGAAATCCAGTGTACAGTGTAGTGTATAAGTATATCTGGGACAATGCCAAGGAAATGATGTCACCCATTGATTTCCCATCCACAGCTTCTTGTTGTCTTAGTTGTGTATATCAATGATGGAAACGTGTACAAAGGATGTTACTGAGCCTTTGGTCGCTACAGTTAATCTGTCTGTGGACTATAATTACTGTAATTATTTTAGTTAGCATCCTTAGGGACATCTTGATCAGGACACAATATATGGGGAACAATACAGGTAGGATGTGGTTGGAATCTCTATATAATACAGGTATTAATGAGGCTTTACAAATCATCAAGAAATATATACCATATTGTTGACTTTCTAACTGTAATTATCCATACAGAAATGAATACATCTCACTGGTGATCAAAGACAATTATGACACCTGGCTTACAGGGGGTGATCATACATAATTATGACACCTGGGTTACAGGGGGTGATCATACATAATTATGACACCTGGGTTACAGGGGGTGATCATACATAATTATGACACCTGGCTTACAGGGGGTGATCATACATAATTATGACACCTGGGTTACAGGGGGTGATCATACATAATTATGACACCTGGCTTACAGGGGGTGATCATACATAATTTGACACATGGGTTACAGGGAGTGATCATAAATAATTATGATTCCTAGCTTATAGGAGGTAATCGTACATGACACCTGGGTTACAAGAGGTGATCATACATGACACCTGGGTTACAGGGGGTGATCATACATGACACCTGGGTTACAGGGGGTGATCATACATGACACCTGGAATATAGGGGCTGATCATACATGACACCTTGGTAATAAGAGGTGATCATACATGACACCTGGGTTACAGGAGGTGATCATACACGACACCTGGGTTACAGGGGGTGATCATACATGACACTTGGGTTACAGGGAGTGATCATAGATGACACCTGGGTTATGGGGGTGATCATAGATGACACCTGGGTTACAGGGGGTGATCATAGATGACACCTGGGTTACAGGGGTGATAATACATGACACCTGGGTTACAGGGGATGATCATACATGACACCTGGGTTACAGGGGGTGATCATACTTGACACCTGGGTTACAGGGATGATAATACATGACACCTGGGTTACAGGGGGTGATCATACTTGACACCTGGGTTACAGGGGTGATAATACATGACACCTGGGTTACAGGGGGTGATCATACATGACACCTGGGTTACAGGGGATGATCATACATGACACCTGAGTTACAGGGGGTGATCATACTTGACAACTGGGTTACAGGGGTGATAATACATGACACCTGGGTTACAGGGGTGATAATACATGACAACTGGGTTACAGGGGGTAATCATACATGACACCTGGGTTACAGGGGGTGATCATACTTGACAACTGGGTTACAGGGGTGATAATACATGACACCTGTGTTACAGGGGTGATAATACATGACACCTGTGTTACAGGGGTGATAATACATGACACCTGGGTTACAGGGGTGATAATACATGACACCTGTGTTACAGGGGTGATAATACATGACACCTGGGTTACAGGGGTGATAATACATGACACCTGGGTAACAGGAGGTGATGATACATGACACGTGGGTTACAGAGGGTGATGATACATGACATCTGGGTTACAGGGGTGATAATACATGACACCTGGGTTACAGGGGGTGATCATACATGACACCTGGGTTACAGGGGGTGATCATACATGACATCTGGGTTACAGGGGGTGATCATACATGACACCTGGGTTACAGAGGGTGATGATACATGACATCTGGGTTACAGGGGTGATAATACATGACACCTGGGTTATAGGGTGTGATCATACATGACACCTGGGTTACAGAGGGTGATGATACATGACATCTAGGTTACAGGGGGTGATCATACATGACACCTGGGTTACAGGAGGTGATCATACATGACACCTGGGTTACAGGGGGTGATCATACATGACACCTGGGTTACAGGGGGTGATCATACATGACACCTGGGTTACAGGGGGTGATCATACATGACACCTGGGTTACAGGGGGTGATCATACATGACACCTGGGTTACAGGGGGTGATCATACATGACACCTGGGTTACAGAGGGTGATGATACATGACATCTGGGTTACAGGGGTGATAATACATGACACCTGGGTTATAGGGTGTGATCATACATGACACCTGGGTTACAGAGGGTGATGATACATGACATCTAGGTTACAGGGGGTGATCATACATGACACCTGGGTTACAGGAGGTGATCATACATGACACCTGGGTTACAGGGGGTGATCATACATGACACCTGGGTTACAGGGGGTGATCATACATGACACCTGGGTTACAGGGGGTGATCATACATGACACCTGGGTTACAGGGGGTGATCATACAGGACACCTGGGTTACAGGGGGTGATCATACATGACACCTGGGTTACAGGGGATGATCAAACATGACACCTAGGTAACAGGGGGTGATCATTCATGACACCTGGCTAACAGTGGGTGATTATACATGACACCTGGGTTACAGGGGATGATCAAACATGACACCTAGGTAACAGGGGGTGATCATTTATGACACCTGGCTAACAGTGGGTGATCATACATGACACCTGGGTTACAAGAGGTGATCATACAAAATCATATTACCTGCCTCAAATTACAAGCTAGATATTCACATATAGGTAAGTCACATCATGAATTTGGAGCAGATCATCAACATAACTTACATTAAAACACTTCATTTGATGCTGATATGGTGATCAGATTGTCTCTGATAAGGAAAACAACATCATCCCCTATATTCAATCTGACACGGATTCTCAATGAAATAAGAACACAGGAGGACGGATATTTTGTTACTTCCTGTGGAGGAATGTGCAACCATTGTCTTTGATGTTTTATATCTGATGAAGAATGTTGGAATATGCTGCATGTGTTATGGAATGATGTCATTTCTGACTGTTTTTATACAGAATATTACAAAATTAATTTCTATTTTGTGAGTTATTTGTTTTATGTTTTTGTTTCAGTTGCCGACACATCAGTGCTGAAGGACACCAAGATCGTGTTTGTTGTCGGTAAGATTTCCCCCGATCTGTGTCGGAATAAAATTTGGTTGAAGAATTGGGATTCCACGTCCTGTAACTTTCCTGAAAATAACATCTAATAGACTTTACTGAACATAATGTAAGATTTAAACAATAAAAATGTCGGACATATCAACCCATGATGAGAAAATTGTTTAGATAAACTTAATTATGATAACAATACTCACTGCTTATTTCTGTTACCATAAATAGACACAAATATAATCTGTGAGATAGCTGGACTGTGGATCAGTAAAATAACAAAGATGGTTCTTGAATTCATCAATTCTGCAGTGATTCATCATCTATTTTATAAATTATCCCTGCATCAACACAGGAGGACCTGGCAGTGGAAAGGGAACACAATGTGAAAGGATTGTACAACAATATGGCTTCACCCATCTCTCCACTGGTGACCTTCTGAGGGCAGAGGTTGCTTCAGGGTCAGCTAGGGGCAAAGAACTCACAAGTATCATGGAGAGTGGACAGCTTGTACCCCTGGTGAGTATTTTGGGGGCTCACCATTAAAGAGGAATAACTTGATTAAGCAGTTTGTCCCCCTAGTGAGTGTAATGTTTGTACTTATAAAGGGGGGATAACTCCACAGGTTACACTCTCTTACAGCACTTTGCATTAATTCTAGGGATTTCAGGTATCAATGCCATTTTTAAGAGATGTAGTTGATGGAAACGAACAATTATCCATTTTATCTTAATCTCTCTGTCAAACTTGTAGGATAGAGTGATACAATAAATCCTGAATATTTCTCTGGCATAGTTTGGGCTTATATTGTTACACCCTATAGAACTGTTTTTATCTGAATCTCTGTGTCACACCTGTAGGATGTGGTGCTTGAATTGCTGAAGGAGAAAATGGTAGCTGCTGCAGCTACCAGCTCTGGTTTCCTAATCGATGGCTACCCCCGTGAGATGGAACAGGGCACCAGGTTTGAAAGTGAGGTACTGTCATCTTCTGGATTAATGTTATCTTAAACCTTAATTATAATAGGGGGGAGTGAAATATTAAGTATTTGTTCTGTCATATCTTGTCTCCCCCCTTCCCCATTGTGTTCTTAACGATACTTAATTTTACAGTAGATTTTGACAGAACTTAGGGTTTAGTATGAGAGGACCTGGGTTCAAAGTTCAAGCTCAACATCACTATTGTTCTTGGACCTTATCAAATCTTATACCTTATACCATATATTGCTTTTATCACTCATGAAAATGTAAATCTTTAATCTCTTTATTAAAAAAAAAATACTGTAAAAACCTACTGTATCCAGGTGGCCCCTTGTACATGCGTCCTGTACTTCGAAGCATCAGATGAGACGATGACACAGCGTCTCTTAGGACGTGCCCTCACCAGTGGTCGTGTGGACGATAATGAAGAAACCATCAAAAAGAGGCTAAAGACATTCCATGACATCACAACCCCTGTTGTAGAATACTTCACACAGCAGGACAAGGTCAAAAAGGTCAGTAACATCACAACCCCTGTTATAGAATACTTCACACAGCAGGACAAGGTCAAAAAGGTCAGTAACATCACAACCCCTGTTATAGAATACTTCACACAGCAGGACAAGGTCAAAAAGGTAGAATACTTCACACAGCAGGACAAGGTCAAAAAGGTCAGTAACATCACAACCCCTGTTATAGAATACTTCACACAGCAGGACAAGGTCAAAAAGGTCAGTAACATCACAACCCCTGTTATAGAATACTTCACACAGCAGGACAAGGTCAAAAAGGTCAGTAACATCACAACCCCTGTTATAGAATACTTCACACAGCAGGACAAGGTCAAAAAGGTCAGTAACATCACAACCCCTGTTATAGAATACTTCACACAGCAGGACAAGGTCAAAAAGGTCAGTAACATCACAACCCCTGTTATAGAATACTTCACACAGCAGGACAAGGTCAAAAAGGTCAGTAACATCACAACCCCTGTTATAGAATACTTCACACAGCAGGACAAGGTCAAAAAGGTCAGTAACCTTCAAAAACACAAAAAGATTTGGCTTTATTTACCAATTATACTAAAAGCTGTTTAATATTGGAAATTATTAATGTTTTCAGGTGTCGGCTGAGAAACAAGTGGACGAGGTCTACACTGATGTCCAGGCTATATTTGATTCACTTGTTCCTGGAAAAGCAGGTCAGTATGAGGGACGAGAACAATGATTTTATATATTACTGTCAATGTCTATTCAATCTATATATTAATGAGTACGGTACCTTAATATGTAGCATAAAAATGACCAAACCGTCATTCTGTCGCTCGTCCAATGAAAGGTTGAAAGGCTGTAATATTGGCCATAAACCTGTTAAATAAAATAAGTAAATAATTCTGCGTCAACTGCATTATCTGATTAACCTACTGTTGTTAACATGGTTATTTCTGCTGGAGATTTAGATCAGTGTATGTGCGGGAGTTAAGTCATATGATTAATGAACCTTTGCATATCTAATTTATATTTTGGTAGGAATGCTATGTTGCACAAATTTATAAAAGTGGGTGAAATTTAGGTAGCTGAATGACATTTGCATTTTTTTAATTAAATTTAAATTTCCTGCACAGGTAAGTTGTCATGACTACAGAATTAAGAAGGAAACGTTTGTTAAACTACTGGTACAAACTAGACTGGTATAATAATATCATTGTTTTTATTTTGGGATTTCTGAATTCTGATGAACTATAGAAATGTACCAGAAACAAAATGAAATTTAAGTCTAACTGATCCTGGCTATAACTGTCTCCTTTATTACAGAATCAGCTCCTAAAGATAATGTTCCTGAGACTTCACCACCAGAGGTCACTACTCAAGAGACTGTACCTCTAGATACCTCCGTTCTCAAGGACACCAAGGTCGTGTTTGTAGTGGGTAAGAAGTTTAACTGAAAAAAGTATAGTCATGAAAATTTGGTGAAATATCCAATTTCTTTTTTTTGCTAATGTCTAGATATCCTCAGGGATTCTGTGATAGTCCTGTGATGTCATGGTTTTGTCCTACAAACGTTTTACCCTAGCTAATTACTCTGGATATCATGCACCGTAGCACTCCCACATGATCATCAGTAAGATGGACACCAGATACTGTATGGAGACCCCACTGCAAGTGTAAAGGACTGTTCACACAGAGTGATAATGCCATCATTTACAAACAAATCACAGTTATATTGTTGTCTCAAAGCTTCTTCACTCATCAGTTATACTTGCTTCCATTGACTTTCACACAGGAGGACCTGGCAGTGGAAAGGGAACACAATGTGAAAGGATTGTACAACAATATGGCTTCACCCACCTCTCCACTGGTGACCTTCTGAGGGCAGAGGTTGCTTCAGGGTCAGCTAGGGGCAAAGAACTCACAAGTATCATGGAGAGTGGACAGCTTGTTTCCCTGGTGAGTGTATTGGTGGTTCACAATTTTAAGGGCAATAACTGCACAATTTTAAGGGAGGTAGCTCTTTAGTATCTTGGAAAAAGCATAATGTAACCATGGTGATTTATTTTTAGTATTTGAAGAATATAACGTTATCAATATTTATCAACAATAAGAAAAATTCACACAGAATTAACAAATACATTATCAAAATTGCTGATGCTTAATGTGTACATCTTCATCCCTCCAGGATGTGGTGCTCCAGCTGCTGAAAGAAAAAATGGTGGCAGCAGCCGCGACCAGCTCCGGCTTCCTGATTGATGGTTACCCACGTGAGATGGAGCAGGGCACCAGATTTGAAAATGAGGCAAGTCAAAACATGAAAGTTCATGGAGGAAACCTAACATAAAATAGAATAGGGAATTGGAAGGATTGTAGATGAAATATCAAGATTATATCAAGGTCAGAGCTATCATCACAGTATACCATTCTCAGTGTTGATAGATTTTGTATTTTTTTCAGTTTTATGCTACAGAATAAATTTGCAATCAGGAGGCAGTTTGGTTTGTTATTACGATGAAGATTTATATAAAATTCACTGATATTGGAACAAAAGAAATTTTCCACCGTACTGAAATCTTACGTAAGAAGATTGATATATATATTAGAAGGTCCTGATTTTTTAACAGGTAACCCCTTGTACATGTGTCCTCTACTTCGAAGCATCAGACGAGACAATGACACAGCGTCTCTTAGGACGTGCCCTCACCAGTGGTCGTGTGGACGACAATGAAGAAACCATCAAAAAGAGGCTAAAGACATTCCATGACATCACAACCCCTGTTATAGAATACTTCACACAGCAGGACAAGGTCAAAAAGGTCAGTAACATCACAACCCCTGTTATAGAATACTTCACACAGCAAGACAAGGTCAAAAGGTCAAAAGGTCAGTAACATCACAACCCCTGTTATAGAATACTTCACACAGCAGGACAACGTCAAAAGGTCAGTAACATCACAACCCCTGTTATAGAATACTTCACGCAGCAGTAACATCACAACACCTGTTATAGAATACTTCACACAGCAGGACAAGGTCAAAAAGGTCAGTAACATCACAACCCCTGTTATAGAATACTTCACGCAGCAGTAACATCACAACCCCTGTTATAGAATACTTCACGCAGCAGTAACATCACAACCCCTGTTATAGAATACTTCACGCAGCAGTAACATCACAACACCTGTTATAGAATACTTCACACAGCAGGACAAGGTCAAAAAGGTCAGTAACATCACAACCCCTGTTATAGAATACTTTACACAACAGGACAAGGTCAAAAAGGTCAGTAACATCACAACCCCTGTTATAGAATACTTCACGCAGCAGTAACATCACAACCCCTGTTATAGAATACTTCACACAGCAGGACAAGGTCAAAAAGGTCAGTAACATCACAACCCCTGTTATAGAATACTTCACACAGCAGGACAAGGTCAAAAGGTCAGTTACATCACAACCCCTGTTATAGAATACTTCACGCAGCAGTAACATCACAACCCCTGTTATAGAATACTTCACGCAGCAGTAACATCACAACCCCTGTTATAGAATACTTCACACAGCAAGACAAGGTCAAAAAGGTCAGTAACATCACAACCCCTGTTATAGAATACTTCACACAGCAGGACAAGGTCAAAAAGGTCAGTAACATCACAACCCCTGTTATAGAATACTTCACACAGCAGGACAAGGTCAAAAAGGTCAGTAACATCACAACCCCTGTTATAGAATACTTCACACAGCAGGACAAGGTCAAAAAGGTCAGTAACATCACAACCCCTGTTATAGAATACTTCACACAGCAGGACAAGGTCAAAAAGGTCAGTAACATCACAACCCCTGTTATAGAATACTTCACACAGCAGGACAAGGTCAAAAAGGTCAGTAACATCACAACCCCTGTTATAGAATACTTCACACAGCAGGACAAGGTCAAAAAGGTCAGTAACATCACAACCCCTGTTATAGAATACTTCACACAGCAGGACAAGGTCAAAAAGGTCAGTAACATCACAACCCCTTTTTATAGAATACTTCACACAGCAGGACAAGGTCAAAAAGGTCAGTAACATCACAACCCCTGTTATAGAATACTTCACACAGTAGGACAAGGTCAAAAAGGTCAGTAACCTTCAAAAACACAAAAAGATTTGGCTTTATTTACCAATTATACTAAAAGCTGTTTAATATTGGAAATTATTAATGTTTTCAGGTGTCGGCTGAGAAACAGGTGGATGAGGTCTACACTGATGTCCAAGCTATATTTGATTCACTTGTTCCTGGAAAAGCAGGTCAGTATGAGGGATGAGAACAATGATTTTATATATTACTGTCAATGTCTATTCAATCTATATACTAATGAGTACACACCATACCTTAATTAACTGTTTAATAATAACCCAATCGTAATTCTATCTCAAACGTCCGTACAACTGTAAACATGGTTATCTCTTCAGGTTAGTTAGATTAGTGTACCCGCGGGGGTTATGTTTTACGATTAATGACCTTTGAAAATCTAACTTATATTTTTATATGAATGTTATATGTAAGAAATGAATGCTAGTAGGTGAGATTTAGGTGGCCACTGACTTCTGCATATTAAGTGTAAATTTCCCCCACACTAAATTTCCATGTTTATGGTATATAGAGAAAAAGTGTTGTTAAACTACTGGTACAAACTAGACTGGTATGATATCATTGTTTTTATTTTGGGATTTCTGAATTCTGATGAACTATAGAAATGTACCAGAAACAAAATGAAATTTAAGTTTAACTGATCCTGGCTATAACTGTCTCCTTTATTACAGAATCAGCTCCTAAAGATAATGTTCCTGAGACTTCACCACCAGAGGTCACTACTCAAGAGACTGTACCTCTAGATACCTCCGTTCTCAAGGACACCAAGGTCGTGTTTGTAGTGGGTAAGCATCACATAGATAAACAGAAAAATTAGTTCATTTTAAAAAGCCTAGATAAGATATATATGTCTTTTTCATACTTCAGATTTTAGCTGTATTTTGTATAAACAGTTTTGTGCGTTGTTGAACAGGTCTTCCTTATCACAGATCTGTAACAGGTCTTCCTTATCACAAATCTGTAACAGGTCTTCCTTATCACAAATCTGCAACAGGTCTTCCTTATCACAAATATGTAACAGGTCTTCCTTATCACAAATCTGTAACAGGTCTTCCTTATCACAAATCTGTAACAGGTCTTCCTTATCACAGATCTGTAACAGGTCTTCCTTATCACAGATCTGTGTTGTCTTTCTGATGATTTTATACATTTATATTTGATACATATTACAAATTATAAATCAGCCATGTCATCAAAGCTTTCTTTCCTAATGCTGTGTAATTGTGCAGAAAATTGTCCTTATTACTGCTGTGTAGCAGTGTAGAAAATTGTCCTTAGTACTGCTGTGTAATTGTGCAGAAAATTGTCCTTAGTACTGCTGTGTAACTGTAGAAAATTGTCCTTAGTACTGCTGTGCTGTGTAGAAAATTGTAGTACTGCTGTGTAGAAAATTGTCCTTAGTACTGCTGTGTAATTGTGTAGAAAATTGTCCTTAGTACTGCTGTGTAACTGTAGAAAATTGTCCTTAGTACTGCTGTGTAACAGTGTAGAAAATTGTCCTTAGTACTGCTGTGTAACTGTGTATGAAATCGATATTTATTTTTCAGTCCACTATCACCAGATAGTCGTGCGTCAGCCCCACATGTTGAACGTTATCATTGGTTTTTCTTAAGAGAAAATAAAGGAAAATATCCAACTTTTAAAAGAACAAATGAAGATCAAAGACTTGTAGAGGCCAAGATCACTGTAGAAAATTGTCCTTCAAGGTAACAGTGAACAACCTGTGTTCCAGTGTAGAAAATTGTCCTTAGTACTGCTGTGTAACTGTGTAAAATGCTGCTGTGTAAAGAAAATTGTCCTTAGTACTGCTGTGTACTTAATACTGCTGTTGTAGAAAATTGTCCTTAGTACTTTCACACTGTGAGGTCCTTACCTGCTGTGTAACAGTAGAACACAATGCTGTGTAATTGTGTAGAAAATTGTCCTTAGTACTGCTGTGTAATTGTGTAGAAAATTGTCCTTAGTACTGCTGTGTAATTGTGCAGAAAATTGTCCTTATTACTGCTGTGTAATTGTGTAGAAAATTGTCCTTAGTACTGCTGTGTAATTGTGCAGAAAATTGTCCTTATTACTGCTGTGTAATTGTGTAGAAAATTGTCCTTAGTACTGCTGTGTAATTGTGCAGAAAATTGTCCCTAGTACTGCTGTGTACCAGTGTAGAAAATTGTCCTTAGTACTGCTGTGTAATTGTGTAGAAAATTGTCCTTAGTACTGCTGTGTAACTGTAGAAAATTGTCCTTAGTACTGCTGTGTAACAGTGTAGAAAATTGTCCTTAGTACTGCTCTGTCACTGTGTAGAAAATTGTCCTTAGTACTGCTGTGTAACAGTGTAGAAAATTGTCCTTAGTACTGCTGTGTAACTGTGTAGAAAATTGTCCTTAGTACTGCTGTGTAATTGTGTAAAACTTAGTACTGCTGTGTAACTGTAGAAAATTGTCCTTAGACTGCTGTGTAACAGTGTAGAAAATTGTCCTTAGTACTGCTCTGTCACTGTGTAGAAAATTGTCCTTAGTACTGCTGTGTAACAGTGTAGAAAATTGTCCTTAGTACTGCTGTGTAATTGTGTAGAAAATTGTCCTTAGTACTGCTGTGTAACTGTAGAAAATTGTCCTTAGTACTGCTGTGTAACTGTAGAAAATTGTCCTTAGTACTGCTGTGTAACTGTCAAGAAAATTGAAAGTACTGCTTGATGTGTAGAAAATGATTGATATTTCAATAGTTAAGATGAGAAATCAATGAGGATAAGAAAAAACTGTAGGTGAGATGTCAAAACCATAATCACATGTCAAAATCATAATCAAATGTCAAAACCATAATCACATGTCAAAACCATAATCACATGTCAAAACCATAATCAAATGTCAAAACCATAATCACATGTCAAAACCATAATCACATGTCAAAACCATAATCACATGTCAAAACCATAATCAAATGTCAAAACCATAATCACATGTCAAAACCATAATCAAATGTCAAAACCATAATAACATGTCAAAACCATAATCACATGTCAAAACCATAATCAAATGTCAAAACCATAATCACATGTCAAAACCATAATCAAATGTCAAAACCATAATCACATGTCAAAACCATAATCACATATCAAAACCATAATCACATGTCAAAACCATAATCACATATCAAAACCATAATCACATGTCAAAACCATAATCAAATGTCAAAACCATAATCAAATGTCAAAACCATAATCACATATCAAAACCATAATCACATATCAAAACCATAATCACATATCAAAACCATAATCACATATCAAAACCATAATCACATATCAAAACCATAATCAAATGTCAAAACCATAATCAAATGTCAAAACCATAATCACATGTCAAAACCATAATCACATGTCAAAACCATAATCACATGTCAAAACCATAATCAAATGTCAAAACCATAATCAAATGTCAAAACCATAATCACATATCAAAACCATAATCACATGTCAAAACCATAATCACATGTCAAAACCATAATCAAATGTCAAAACCATAATCACATATCAAAACCATAATCACATGTCAAAACCATAATCACATGTCAAAACCATAATCACATGTCAAAACCATAATCAAATGTCAAAACCATAATCAAATGTCAAAACCATAATCACATATCAAAACCATAATCACATATCAAAACCATAATCACATGTCAAAACCATAATCACATGTCAAAACCATAATCACATGTCAAAACCATAATCACATGTCAAAACAAATCTAAATAGTTTATCATATTTTCACATGTAAATACTTTTCTGTGTTACAGGTAACCCCTTGTACATGTGTCCTCTACTTCGAAGCATCAGATGAGACGATGACACAGCGTCTCTTAGGACGTGCCCTCACTAGTGGTCGTGTGGACGATAATGAAGAAACCATCAAAAAGAGGCTAAAGACATTCCATGACATCACAACCCCTGTTATAGAATACTTCACACAGCAGGACAAGGTCAAAAAGGTCAGTAACATCACAACCCCTGTTATAGAATACTTCACACAGCAGTAACATCACAACCCCTGTTATAGAATACTTCACACAGCAGGACAAGGTCAAAAAGGTCAGTAACATCACAACCCCTGTTATAGAATACTTCACACAGCAGGACAAGGTCAAAAAGGTCAGTAACATCACAACCCCTGTTATAGAATACTTCACACAGCAGGACAAGGTCAAAAAGGTCAGTAACATCACAACCCCTGTTATAGAATACTTCACACAGCAGGACAAGGTCAAAAGGTCAGTAACATCACAACCCCTGTTATAGAATACTTCACACAGCAGGACAAGGTCAAAAAGGTCAGTAACATCACAACCCCTGTTATAGAATACTTCACACAGCAGGACAAGGTCAAAAAGGTCAGTAGCTGTGATAAATAAATTAATGATGTACTAAATGTCATTGATTTATTATGATAAGAAAAGTTGATCACATAATTTATCTGTCAATAAATTATAGAGAAAGCATTAAACAACTCAGTTAATGGAGAATACCACTTGTTGATTTTGGTTGATGTAAATATGGTTTGTTTGAACAGGTATCAGCAGAGAGGGATGTATCAGATGTGTTCACAGATGTGCAAGTAATATTTGATGAAATCACAGGTAAGATCTTTTCTACATATCCCATCATTCTTCAATATCTCCCTACTTTCCTACATATCCCATCATTCTTCAATATCTCCCTACTTTCCTACATATCCCATCATTCTTCAATATCTCCCTACTTTCCTACATATACCATCATTCTTCAATATCTCCCTACTTTCCTACATATCCCATCATTCTTCAATATCTCCCTACTTTCCTACATATCCCATCATTCTTAAATATCTACCTACTTTTCTACATATCCCATCATTCTTCAATATCTACCTACTTTCCTACATATCCCATCATTCTTCAATATCTACCTACGTTCCTACATATCCCATCATTCTTCAATATCTCCCTACTTTCCTACATATCCCATCATTCTCCAATATCTACATACTTTTCTACATATCCCATCATTCTTCAATATCTCCCTACTTTCCTACATATCCCATCATTCTTCAATATCTCCCTACTTTCCTACATATCCCATCATTCTCCAATATCTACCTACTTTTCTACATATCCCATCATTCTTCAATATCTACCTACTTTCCTACATATCCCATCATTCTTCAATATCTCCCTACTTTCCTACATATCCCATCATTCTTCAATATCTACCTACGTTCCTACATATCCCATCATTCTTCAATATCTACCTACGTTCCTACATATCCCATCATTCTTCAATATCTCCCTACTTTCCTACATATCCCATCATTCTCCAATATCTACCTACTTTTCTACATATCCCATCATTCTTCAATATCTCCCTACTTTTCTACATATCCCATCATTCTTCAATATCTCCCTACTTTCCTACATATCCCATCATTCTTCAATATCTCCCTACTTTCCTACATATCCCATCATTCTTCAATATCTACCTACGTTCCTACATATCCCATCATTCTTCAATATCTACCTACTTTCCTACATATCCCATCATTCTCCAATATCTACCTACTTTTCTACATATCCCATCATTCTTCAATATCTCCCTACTTTCCTACATATCCCATCATTCTTCAATATCTACCTACTTTTCTACATATCCCATCATTCTTCAATATCTACCTACTTTTCTACATATCCCATCATTCTTCAATATCTCCCTACTTTCCTACATATCCCATCATTCTTCAATATCTCCCTACTTTCCTACATATCCCATCATTCTTCAATATCTACATACGTTCCTACATATCCCATCATTCTTCAATATCTACCTACTTTCCTACATATCCCATCATTCTCCAATATCTACCTACTTTTCTACATATCCCATCATTCTTCAATATCTCCCTACTTTCCTACATATCCCATCATTCTTCAATATCTACCTACTTTTCTACATATCCCATCATTCTTCAATATCGCCCTACTTTTCTACATATCCCATCATTCTTCAATATCTCCCTACTTTTCTACATATCCCATCATTCTTCAATATCTACCTACTTTTCTACATATCCCATCATTCTTCAATATCTACCTACTTTTCTACATATCCCATCATTCTTCAATATCTACCTACTTTTCTACATATCCCATCATTCTTCAATATCTCCATACTTTTGAAGGGCTCTCCAGGATCACTATGGATTGGAATATATATGGTTCCATGTAGGGATAACATTATTTTAAATATGTTTGAAAGGGTTTGGTACACCCATAGTGCTCTGTATGGTTACTATAGTTTGGTATTCCTGAGGTACTTTGTAGGGTAACTAAAGTTTGGTATTCCTGAGGTACTCTGTAGGGTAATATAGTTTGGTATTCCTGAGGTACTCTGTAGGGTAACTATGGTTTGGTATTCCTGAGGTACTTTGATTGGTTACTAACGTTTGGTATGCCTGAGGTACTTTGTATGGTTACTATAGTTTGGTGTTCATGAGGTACTCTGTAGGATAACTATAGTTTGGTATTCCTGAGGTACTCTGTAGGGTAACTATAGTTTGGTATTCCTGAGGTACTCTGTAGGGTAACTATAGTTTGGTATTCTTGAGGTACTCTGTAGGGTTACTATAGTTTGGTATTCCTGAGATACTCTGTAGGGTAACTTTAGTTTGGTATTCCTGAGGTACTCTGTAGGGTTACTATAGTTTGGTATTCCTGAGGTACTTTGTATGGTTACTATAGTTTGGTATTCCTGAGGTACTTTGTAGGGTTACTATAGTTTGGTTTTCTTGAGGTACTCTGTAGGATAACTATAGTTTGGTATTCCTGAGGTACTCTGTAGGGTAACTTTAGTTTGGTATTCCTGAGGTACTCTGTAGGGTAACTATAGTTTGGTATTCCTGAGGTACTTGGTAGGGTAACTATAGTTTGGTATTCCTGAGGTACTCTGTAGGGTAACTATAGTTTGGTATTCCTGAGGTACTCTGTAGGGTAACTATAGTTTGGTATTCCTGAGGTACTTGGTAGGGTAACTATAGTTTGGTATTCCTGAGGTACTCTGTAGGGTAACTATAGTTTGGTATTCCTGAGGTACTTGGTAGGGTAACTATAGTTTGGTATTCCTGAGGTACTCTGTAGGGTAACTATAGTTTGGTATTCCTGAGATACTTTGTATGGTTACTATAGTTTGGTATTCTTGAGGTACTCTGTATGTTTACTATAGTTTGGTATTCCTGAGGTACTCTGTATGGTTACTATAGTTTGGTATTCCTGAGGCACCTTGTAGGGTAACTATAGTTTGGTATTCCTGAGGTACTCTGTAGGGTAACTATGGTTTGATATTCCTGAGGTACTTTGTATGGTTACTATGGTTTGGTATTCCTGAGATACTTTGTATGGTTACTATGGTTTGGTATTCCTGAGGTACTTTGTATGGTTACTATAGTTTGGTATTCCTGAGGTACTCTGTAGGGTAACTATAGTTTGGTATTCCTAAGGTACTTTGTATGGTTACTATAGTTTGGTATTCCTGAGGTACTCTGTAGGGTAACTATAGTTTGGTATTCCTGAGGTACTCTGTAGGGTAACTATAGTTTGGTATTTCTGAGGTACTCTGTAGGGTAACTATAGTTTGGTATTTCTGAGGTACTCTGTAGGGTAACTATAGTTTGGTATTCCTGAGGTACTTTGTATGGTTACTATAGTTTGGTATTCCTGAGGTACTCTGTAGGGTAACTATAGTTTGGTATTTCTGAGGTACTCTGTAGGGTTACTATAGTTTGGTATTCCTGAGGTACTCTGTAGGGTAACTATAGTTTGGTATTCCTGAGGTACTCTGTAGGGTAACTTTAGTTTGGTATTCCTGAGGTACTCTGTATGGTTACTATAGTTTGGTATTCCTGAGGTACTTTGTATGGTTTTATTCCTGAGGTATGGTTTTCCTGAGGGTACTTTAGTTTGTATGGTTACTATAGTTTGGTATTCCTGTAGGTACTTTGTATGGTTACTATAGTTTGGTATTCCTGAGGTACTAACTATGTAGGGTAACTATAGTTTGGTATTCCTGAGGTACTTTGTAGGGTTACTATAGTTTGGTATTCCTGAGGTACTTTGTATGGTTACTATAGTTTGGTATTCCTTGCCTGAGTAACTATAGTACTTTGTAGGGTAACTATAGTTTGGTGTTCCTGAGGTACTCTGTAGGATAACTATAGTTTGGTATTCCTGAGGTACTCTGTAGGGTAACTATAGTTTGGTATTCCTGAGGTACTTTGTATGGTTACTATAGTTTGGTGTTCCTGAGGTACTCTGTAGGATAACTATAGTTTGGTATTCCTGAGGTACTCTGTAGGATGACTATAGTTTGGTATTCCTGAGGTACTTTGTATGGTTACTATAGTTTGGTATTCCTGAGGTACTTTGTATGGTTACTATAGTTTGGTATTCTTGAGGTACTCTGTAGGATAACTATAGTTTGGTATTCCTGAGGTACTCTGTAGGGTAACTATAGTTTGGTATTCTTGAGGTACTCCGTAGGGTAACTATAGTTTGGTATTACTGAGGTACTCTGTATGGTTACTATAGTTTGGTATTCCTGAGGTACTCTGTAGGGTAACTATAGTTTGGTATTCCTGAGGTACTTGGTAGGGTTACTATAGTTTGGTATTCCTGAGGTACTTTGTATGGTTACTATAGTTTGGTATTCCTGAGGTACTCTGTAGGGTAACTATAGTTTGGTATTCCTGAGGTACTTGGTAGGGTAACTATAGTTTGGTATTCCTGAGGTACTTTGTATGGTTACTATAGTTTGGTATTCCTGAGGTACTCTGTATGGTTACTATAGTTTGGTATTCCTGAGGTACTCTGTAGGGTAACTATAGTTTGGTGTTCCTGAGGTACTTTGTAGGATACTATAGTTTGGTATTCCTGAGGTACTCTGTAGGATTACTATAGGTAACTATGGTTGTGTATGTCAATGGTGCTCACTTGGGTTACAAGGGTTTGGTATATCAATGGTGTTCACTTGGGTTACAAGGGTTTGGTATATCAATGGTGTTCACTTGGGTTACAAGGGTTTGGTACATGACTGTTGCTCTGTATAGTTACTGTAGTTTGAAGAAGTCATGGTAATTTGTAGGATTACTATGTGTTAGAACATTCTTAGTGACTAATGTAGGGGCACTACAGTTTGCTATAATAAACATTTGTTTCTCTTTAAGTTACTTTTTTGGTACATACATATTGCCCTGTAGGACTATGGGGCATTGCAATCATTATCTATTGATTGTTATTGCCTGGGGTTTCAACTCCAAAACAGCAGGCTCCTGCGCATGAAGCAATATCGATCGCAGGACCAGTTAGTACCAATGACTGTTTGTACTGAGTGGGGCTTACATGTACCTCTATAATTAAGCTCATGTGTTGTGGTGGTGATGATCCACACCCTGTACACTGTACACTTACTGTGAACATGACCTTAGTGCTTTAGGGTATTAAGCCTGGATCAATTGATTTTTGTGGAGTGGATCTATTGAGAGGATGATTGTTTTGTGTTGGAATGTGTGTTATCTGATCTTTGACAGGCTCTGTAATGTCGGTAAGTTTTCTGT